TACACAACAGTGATACTATGTGGCAAACTCGGAACCACCTCTAAGTCCACTAAGAAGTTTCTAAGCCAAACTGCCTTTTTCGCTGATATGTACTCGATTTTCATGGTGGAGTCTGTCACCCATTTTTGCTTAGCACTCATCCATGAAATGACTCCACTTCCCAAGATAAACACATAACCTGAGGTTGACTTACTCTCGTCCCTATCTGACTGAAAATCGAAATAACTGTAACCTAGAGATAACAAGCTGTCTGCACGGTAAACTAACATGTACTCCTTAGTCCTTCTCAGGTACTTGAGTATATGTTTCACTGCAGACCTATGTTCTCATCCCTGATTACTTTGATATCTGGCTACCATGCCAAAGTCGTAGCTAATATCCGACCTCGTACACAACATAGCATACATAAGACTTCCTACTGCCGAAGCATAAAGAGCTGTCTTCATGTCTTCTATCTCTTGAGATGTCTTAGGAGACATCTCCTTGGATAGACATATTCGATGTATCGCATTAATTGACCCGTCGCTTCTAGTCGCATCATCAATGCGCGATCCTGATGAAAAAATTTCTCGTAAGTCCAATAGGAATGCCGACCTCAAAAGCGAAGAGTCGAAGCAAGACCTGGCAAACTCGGGTCCTATCATGAGATGAAGACCTTAGAAGAGACGTCGAAGCCTCCCCTCCAAGCCCGGGGGCCTGTATGTTGACATCCGAGTTAGCCGAACGCAAACCGAAAAGGGACGACCTCAAGACCCATACCAGATTCCCAGATAATTATAGAAGTGCCGAGCTAAACAAGGAATGAAGATGATCGAAACCAAAAACCTTCTCCCACACCCGAAACCCCCAATTTCCCCTTGTTCTTGACTTAGTCTTCGTCAATCCATTTTGAGCCTCTCCTCCGGCGGCCCAAGGCCTCCCTAATTCTAACGAACACCCGACTCTTCATGGGCTTGGCGTCGTGGCTGCTGCGCTCTCCCATCTCCACCCCTCACGTGGTTCCGATCTGCTCTGATTGCCATGGTGAGTGAGGTAAGGCGGGTGACGTTTTGCAGCTGTTGTCCGGCGGACATCGTGGGCCTCCTTCTGGCGGTCGTTGGCGGCGGTCTAGCCGTGGTTCTCCCCTTGCCCCATCTTCCCTAGTGTTTGGAAGGTGGGGTCCTCCGGCAGCAGCTGTGTGGTGGTGTTGTGGCTCCGGTGTACGCGTGGAGGGAGGGGGGGAGGCTGTGGAGTGGTCCGGCCTGGGTCAGGTCTGTGGAGTACTGGGAGGTGCTGTCGAGTTTTGTAGTCCGAATCTGGTTAGCCCATTAGGGGAGTTTCTAGATCCAATTTGTTTTGGGTCGTGGATCTCGTGGTTTTTCTCGGTATTTCGCTATGGGTGTTTTGCCGGGGGTGTGGTAGAGCTTGGCTTTCCCGTCCGGTGGGGGAGGTCTGTCGTCTTTGCTTTGTTTTAGATTTATTTTTGTTTGTGTATTTGTGTTGCTAGTAGGCTTGTAAACAAATTAAATTTTTATGATTCGATTCTATATTCGTGATTCGAATTTAAAATATTCGAATTTGAATACAAATAATGTATTATATTCGAAAGGATAACGAATTCGAATTCAAATTTGTAGTTATTCGATTCGAAATTCGATATTCGATTCGTTAAGATACTTATATAAATTTTAAAAATAATATATAATATAAATTTTGTTGTTTATAATATATATATATATATATATATATATATATATATATATATTTGTATTCCTAATATTTTTATGACATAAAAAGTGAAAACATCTCAAATTAATAATTTGCCTTATCTCAAATTAGATAAGAAAAACATAAACATTATTTTTGCAATTATATATTTTTATTATGATATTTTTTTGAAAAAAAATTTTGAATCGAATTCAATATGTTCGAATATTTTACACGAATCGAATAAGAATTAGAAAATGAGTTCATTTTTTAATCGAATACGAATTCAAATCCTCGAATATTTTAACGAATTCGAATCGAATATTTTAATATTCGCTTTGATTCGATTCGTTTACAACCCTAGTTGTTAGTGTGCGTCAGTGTTCTTTTCTCCACCTTTAGGAGCGTGAATTCTCCCGTGGGGAGTATGTATTCCTCATTTGTGGGGTTTTTTTAGTTTTTGTGGTTTTGTTGTGTGTCGTGTTCTAGGCTACCTGTAGTGGTAGTCCTCCCTTATTTGGCTAGTGAGTCGGTTGTAATTATGTGTTTGTTTTTTCTATAAATTTTATCGTTTGAAAAAAAAAAAGATGATCGCAACCGTCGAATAACGTCATTAGTGAGGTCTGCATCTCAACCATATGACGGACGGTGCCGATCTCGTTGACCGCCGACCTGAAAAGAAGATTCCCGAAGACCAGGAGAAGATTAAGTGATCAGGAACCGACCTGAAGATCCCGCATGACCGGCTCTAGGACAAGTGTGGAGCTAGATAATGATATAATAATGCCACTTGCCAGCTGATGATTACCGATTGGACATGCCGTCATAGCCTGCCACCCTATGACATCTAGCCCAACAAAAGTCTGTCAGCACCCACCATGTGTGCATTAAATGCCTGACAGGTAATAAATAAGAAAACCTCAAATCGCATTAATTAACTGTCAGAGCGGCGCCGACCTGCCCAGCAGAAACACTGTGCGACATGACCGGTGAACAGTGCCTAAACAGTGTCATACCTGGAAATACTATAAATAGAAGACCTTTATTAGGGTTGTTGAATCCTCCAACTACTATTTTCTCTCTCTAGAATTCTGTAATAAATTCCCGCAAAAAGTCCAGACTATAAGCAAGGTGCCGACCTCATCTTCAGAGGCCGACCTCGTAATTATATAATAAAATCTGCTTTCCCGTGTATTTTTCTCATTCTCTCTATTTTATCTTTATTTACTTTTATTTTAACCGTTAATCAGATTCATCCATCAACACATATATTAGAGGACGATTTGTAAGCGGTCAAAATCAATTAAAATTGATCAAAATTGGTCATGAGCTAAAGTAAGTTATTTTGAATAAAATTTGATTGAGTGAGATGAGATAGATTGTAACTAAATAATCTTTAAACTATTACGATTAAAGTTGATATGATGTAAATGTATAAGAGAGATGATAAAAGTGATAGATAGCTAAAAATACGTGAGTGGATGAATATTGATTAAAATTGGTGTGATGTAAATAAGAAATAATTGATATTATTAAATAATTTAAAAATTATAATATTAATATAACGAAGTTGAATTAAATTTGAATTCATATAATTAAAAATAATAATTCAATCAAGAATGATTTGTATCAGTTTAAACTTATTTACCAATCGCCACTCTGATTCCACTCTAACACATATTATTCAAACTTCAAATAAAATGAATAATCTAATATCCCCATAATCACCTACCAACCTCTATTTGAGCAATTAAATCATGTCAAATATTCAAGATATAGATTCTCATTTTATTAAATATTGACCATCATTTGATCCAATTCTTTTCATCCCCTTATATATAATTCTCGAATGCGCTGAGTGTACGTGGTTGCTTCTGGTGCTCGGAATCCTACTTGGCGAAAAATCATGCTTCGTAATTAGGTTTGGACAAATAATATTGATATATTAATAATTAATAATCTAGGTTCGGACATTCCATAAATTTTATTTAGCTAACTTAAGTATTTTAATATCACTTGTACTAATATAAACTCTTTAATTCTTTGTAATTTTACATAGTGAGGCACTAAGTGACTAATATATCTCTGACTTTTGATTTGTTTCCTTCAATTAACTATTGAATTGTAAATGTATTTTAAATGTTGATAATTTTTGTATTTCTTATCGGTTTTGCATATATAATATATCCAATTAATCATCTTTTGATGATTTTCAATTTGATATCCATATTGTATATATGAAATAAATCATATTTATCTTTATAATAATAAAAAATAATAATATTTATTAAAATTCATTAGAAAAATAAAATTATTTCCCAATTCATATATTTAAGTTTAATGTTGTTATATGTTGTAAGTTAAAAAACTATTATAATATAACACAAGTAAGTCGCACAAATAAAAAGTGTCATACTAAATATATAATAATATATATATTTTTATAAAAGGTATTTAAATTTTCAACTACTTTTTCTCATTAATTTAGATTTTAAGAAAAAAATTAGCAAGCATCCGTGTAATACACGAGCGCTGTACCATTATAATATAATGTTAAATAAACATTTGAATAATAATGATTTTGTGAACATATTTTGAACAAAATTAAATACAATATGATATGATTATATTATTCGCAAATAAAAAACTGATGAAAAAATCTAAAGGTGGGATGAATGATGATTACTTTATAGACTTGGACCATTGGCATTATCAACTACAAGTAGGGGCAAATTAGTAAAGTAGGCCTGGAATTTGGGCGCGAAAGGCAGAACCGAAAAGTGTGTATGGTGCAGTGGGTTGGGCCCCAGCGATACAATACAACTGAGAGCAGCAGTCGGTGAGAGAGGCCGTCAAAGTTCTCCCATCCGATTCCCCATTTTACCCCTCCTTCAATTTCTTGATTAAAGTACTCTCACACCACACTACACTCTATAAAGTCAGCATAAATAAATTCCGAATAATAATGAAAAGGTAAAGGCACAGTCATTTCTGGATTTCTTTTCGAATCTGCCCAAGTAAAGAAGGTCTCTGGACTCTCAGTCGAGTAGCTCAACAAGACCACTCCAAACAAGAATCTCCGGCGAGAATTTTCTTACCTTTT